TTGGGCGACTTGCGGGACCTGGGCGACTTGCTGGATCGGCGGGTTTTGCGGGACCTATGCGACCTGCGAGACTTGTGGAGGCTGAGGGGCCTGTAAGACCTGCAGGGCCTGTGCAAAACATCGGCCTTGTTAGGACCTGCGAGAGACCTGCGGGCCTCGCGGGACCTGTAGGGTTTGTGGGACCCGCGGGGCCTGCGCGACCTGTGGCACCTGCGGGACCTGTCGGATCTGCTGGACCTCTGGGACTTGCGAGACCGGTGGGACCTGCGAGATCTGCGGGGCCTGTGAGACTTGTGCGACCTGCGAGGCTCGGGAGACCTGCGGCACTGACGAGACCTGCGGGGCCTGCGAGGCGTTGTCCAACGAACCGCGTTGACGACCCGGCGGGGGGCGGGTTCTATTATGTAAAATCACACACAAGGTGCAAATTAGGTTGCCCGGCAATCCCACTTAACGACCGGGCGGGTGCGGGTTTAGTCCGTAAAATTGCACACGGAACGCACTTCGCGTAAAGTGACCTGCCCCGGCACGCCCACTTTACGATTGAAATGTTCCGCGTTTCGTGTGTGTGAAAAAGGACGGGAAGCACCCATCGTTAAGTGAGACATGTGTCTAATTATTTGTTAAACAACAACTTCTCCTTTTTATAATCCAACATTTCGACATCACGATGGATGCTCTCCGTCCCATTTTTCACACGCGACACCCCGGGGGGGGGGGGACAAACAAAAAAAAAAAAAAAAACGTAAAGTGGGCGCGCCGGGGCACGCCACCTTACGCGAAGTGCGTCCCATGTGCGATTTCACACACTGAACCTGCCACCGCCCGATCGTTGAGCGGGGTCCCGCAATATATTTTACGCAGTGAGCCTGAACCCGCCCACGTCCAATCGTTAAGTAGTTTCGCCAGCCATCGAAAACTTGCCGCCGCGAGCGGATTTTCAGTGAGCCCGCTCCTGCCCGAGATGGAGCTGCGTGCGACAACGACGGGCGGGCCCTGGGCCCCGGGCCCAGAACGCACCCGTTACTGCCAGGAACGGCGGGCGACCACGACGACGACCACGGCGGCGTCGACGACGACGGCGATGACGACCACGACGACGGCGACGACGGCGACGACGACCACGACCACGACGACAACGGCGACCGCGGCGACCACGACGACCACGGCGAAGACGACATGCGTTCTCGCCACATCGCCGGCCACTGCTTAGCCCCCGCTCCTCCGCCGAAACATCATCAGCATCCTCACTCGCCTCTTCCTTCTAATCCTCCTGCTCCTCCCCCCTCCTCGTGATCCTCCTCCTTCGCATCTTCATGCTCTTTTCCCTCGCGCCACCCCTAGCCTCCCAGGGAAGCCACGACAGACCACGGCAGCGTCCGGGAACGATGTTATGCATCAGGGACCGCGCGTTTCCCATTCCATCTGCCCGAACGGCAGAAGTTGCCGACGCTAGAAGGCTATTGCCGCCAAAATGATTGGAGCACGCCCAAACGGGTTCGACATCCACACAGCCGGGCAAAAAGTTATAACAAAATCAGCAAAACGATCATCGTGAATGATTTGCAGACGGCAACGCCCAAAAAGGATCATTCAGTTAGATTCGCCATTCGATGTTGGCAGCGTGCGCAGGCGTGCACCATGGGCCAGGTCATTGATATGCCGCACTGTGGCTTGCGCGCCCAGTGGCAACATTGGGAGCGGACGCCATTTAAAGCCCAGGTGCTCTTCCAAATTAATCCTTCACACGGCCGCTGGCGTAGGTGGTTCCACGTTATGCCTGACGGTTTCGTTCCCCCCAGTCGGATGGCTAACATGCAACGCACAATGCAGACGCGACGTTTTTCCGTAACATTGACAGGCGGATGTCACTCGATGCGACTGGCCCCGCCTGGTCTGATTCAACATCTTTTCGGCTTCCATCCATGTGCCACTTTTGTTCTAAACTTTGTTCACGGGGATGTAGGGGCGCAAAGGGACAAACAAGATCCCCCAAAGTTGCAACATACCCGTCGGCCGAACGAACTGGGTAGAAACATGAAGTAGGAAGGCGCTGAAAGTACATTCGGTCCCCGCCCGCCCTATGAAGAGGAGGGAAGAGGGAAAACCGCTCCATCCTTGGAGTGGGAAGGCGCCAAAAGGACGTAGACTGGGATCTGGGAGTCCAACAACTCCCACCCTCCACGACCGACACGCAACCTCCCTCCACCTTCAGACTCGACGGCAAACCCCACGGTGCCCGGTGCACGCCGCTCCGTCGCCCAACCGGGAGGGCAGCCGCCCGCGCCACGCTCGTGGAGCGCGGCACCCTCTCGCACGCCTGCCTGCGGAGCCGGAAGGGGCGCGCCTGCCTGGCGTGCGGCGCTCTGGTCGGGGCTCGGCCGCCGTGGGTGCGGTGACCGTCACCACCCTTGGGGGGGCTGGCTCAGGCGAAGGAGCATCGAGCTCCGAGCGCCCCTTCATCGCTGCTCGGGGCCCCGGAGTCCCAGCACTGCCAAGAACGTGCATCTTCGCTGCCGGTGGAGGAGGAGGAGGAGGAGGAGGAGGAGGAGGAGGGGAAGAAGGAGAGGAGAGGATGGATGGAGGAGGAGGAAGAGGAGGAGGAGGAGGAGGGGGAGGGGGAGGAGGACAAGCTATGTGCGCTCGCGTCATATCTGACGTCCTACCCCTCCCTCCCATCCCTTACCATGGCGCTGATTTTCTCCATCCGCGGAAGCGGACCTGTGGCTCCGCGCGCGCGTGCGTAGTGGGTGGTGGTGCGCGTGCGTGCGTGCGTGTGTGCGTGGTTGTAGTTGTGGTGGTGGTGGTGGTGGTGGTGGTGGTGGTGGTGGTGGTGGTGGTGGTGGTGGTGGTGGTGGGTGGTGGTGGTGGTGGTGGTGGTGGTGGTGGTGGTGGTGGTGTGTGTGGTGTGTGCGTGTGTGCGCGTGTGCTGTGGTGTGACGTGGTGTGGCGTCTTGGTGGTTTGGTGGTGGGCCAGGTGCGTGCGTGCGTGATGGCGGTGGTGGTGGTGGTGGTGGTGGTGGTGGTGGTGGTGGTGGTGGTGGTGGCGGTGGTGGTGGCGGTGGTGGTGGTGGTGGTGGTGGTGGTGGTGGTGGTGGTGGTGGTGGTGGTGGTGTGTGTGCCGTGTGTGTGTGCGTCGCTCGTACCAATTGTGTGTGTGCGTGTGTATGTATGTGTGTGCGTGCATTTGTGTCTGTGTGCGCGCGCGTGTGATGTGGTGTGACTCGGTGTAGCGTGGTGGTGGTGGTGGTTGTGGGTGGGGTAGTGGGGTCGTGGTGGCGGTGCGCGGTGGTGGTGCGCGTGCGTGCGTGCGTGCGTGAGTGCGTTGGTGGGTGGAAGTGGCGGTGGGCGGGGCGGGGCGCGGTGCGGTGGTGGCGGGCGGATGGGCGCGCGAGAAAGAGGCCCGCGCTGGGGCGAGAACGCCATCCTGAACGACGGAGGCAAAACACCGATCCGAAAATGAGGCCCGCGCTGCAGCGGGAGCACGATTCGTAACGAGCGGAAGCCCGAAAATGAGGCCGGCGCCTCAGCGAGAGCAACATTTTGAAAAAAAAACCAGCGAAAACCCTACTCCGGGAAATCCTGTGTAAAAAAACAGTGCGCGGAGGGTGCCCGCCATCTTCCGCACCCGATCCGAGAAAGCCGCGCGGACTTCCGAAAGTTTATGTTTATGTCATTGTTTGTTCCCCCGAGATTTACCCCCCTAGACGGGGATACATGATGACGGGTCGAGGGTTTACAGGCCTCCGCCCCAGATGGGACGGGGGGACGACGACGACGACGACGACGACGACGACGACGACGACGACGAAGACGAGGACGACGACGACGACGACGACGACGACGACGACGACGACGACGACGACGACGACGACGACGACGACGACGACGACGACGACGACGGCGGCGGCGGCGGCGGCGGCGGCGGCGGCGACGACGGCGGCGGCGACGACAACGACGGCGACGACGACGATGACACACTTAAAGGGGGGGGCACTGGCACCCACCACCACGCCACACCCACCAGTGGACCAGAAAACAAGCGACACCACTCCCCCTACGGCTCTACGAGCCTTGGCATATACCTTGAACTACGGCTTGGGCTTTGGCGTGGTATACGTACGCTACGGCGCCGGATGGGCCGTAGCACAACATGGAGGGCCGTAGGTGGTGTGGTGTCGATGGTTCGTTGGTCGAACCAGGCCACGACCACAGGGGGGGGGTGGAGGGCGATCCCATTCGCGAGGCCTTCGCGAGGTTCACCGGCGTACCCGTCCAGCGGGGCAAGGGGAGCCCGATCACATGAGCATTGGGGAAGGGGGGGCCCGGAGCCCTGGATCATATATGATCACGGGTCGAGGGCACACGGCCCCCAGCCCCCTCCAGATGAGATGGGTCCCAGGACTCCACGGGCCCCACCCCCCCGATGCGATGGGGGGGGGGACGACGACGACGACGACGACGACGACGACGACGACGACGACGACGACGACGACGACGGCGACGACGACGACAAAGACGGCGGCGACAACGACGACGACGACGACGGCGGCGGCGGCGGCGGCGGCACCGACCTCCGGAGACCTCCGACGACGACGGCGGCGGCGGCGGCGACGACCTCCGAAGCTCTCCTGGAGCACCAGTACCACGCGCCACGCACGCCACAGCCACAGCACCACACCGCACCCACAGGGGGCGGGCGGCGGGGCCCGATGCCATCCGCATGGTGTGCGGGAGGTGGGCCCCCGACCTGGATCCTGTATGACGTTCCCTTCGGGTTGGGCGTGGCCCATCCCCCATTGGCGGGTACAGTCGGGCTTGACTGGAGAGGACACGCGAGAGGACACAAGACCCTTTCGAGGGCCACATCGCCACAGGAATGTACGAAGCGTGGGTCGCGAGACACAGGACACGAGGGTGCCCTTGATCTGGCAGGGTCGACCCACCAATCCGGGCCGCCTGCAGGATGGTGGAGCTGAGATACCTCAACCCCAGTGGGGATGGGGATCGGTTAAACGATACTGACGGAGAGGGGGGGTAATGACGGGGGGGACAGTCGGACCTAGACATCCCTCAAGAGTATGAGCCCTTCCGCCGGTCAAAACACACAGAACATCCAAGGGTACCCTCCCCAGGGTGCCCAAGAACATCCAACAAACACGAAGCACACTAGGGTGACCTCCCCGAACCGACCTCGATCTTCCACCTCGGTCCGACTGCATCTCAAGCCCGGTGGGGATGCGGATCGGTGAAACGATGCTGACGAGAGGAGGGGTAGTAAAGTCGGAGGCGGACAAGAAGGGGGCGTCCCAGAGGGGGGGGCGCAAATCATGGCCGGCGGCATGCGCGCGGCCCAGGGGGGGTGCCGAGGACGTACTGAAATAAGAAGAGGCGCCATGAAACCTGGGGAGATATGATGGCCCCCAGCCATGATATCCACCCCCCCTGGTCTTCACCCCCCCTCTTTGCCGCCCCCGATGCAGGGGGGGGGGTAGCGAATCAGCTCACGCAGCCGGTTTCCCAAGCCCCTCCAGGCGCCGGAGGCGCCCGGGCGTCGTGGAAAGCAACCCGATGGCGGAGCCAGAAGCTCACGCAGCCACGTCCCTATCGGGGGAAGGATCGGGGGGGCTGCCGTTTCGCCTGTCTTCTTCGCGGGCGCTCTCGCCAACTCTGGGCGGTTCTCTGGCTCGGGGTGCTCTCCAGCAGCTGCGCCTCGCCGAGAATGTTCCAGGGGTGCTCGGATCGTCCCGATCGGTCGCCAGAGACTCGAGTTATGGCCTGAGAGAAGGACGAGCAGGAGTCGGCGCATGCAGTCCGAGACCTACCCGAGCGAGGCCAGAACCGGCGCAGGGATTTGTCCGAGTGCGCCCGAGTTTTTAAGAAGTCTTGGGCTCGAAAACACCACGATGTTCAACTCTGGTCACGATTTCGGTCACTCTGCGTTGTCTGTAGCGAGGTCGACCTCGCATACTTTCTGCAGTCACGAACTTTCTCGGCTGACCGGGGCCGAGCGCCATGAGAAACCAGCCGCGTGGAGCAGATTTCGTACCCCCGTTCAGATCTCCCTTTGCCGCCTGACCCCAGAGGATGGGGCGGCTGACGAGAGGGCGGCGGGGAAGCGAAAAAGACGGCGGCGACTCCTGAGGAGGGACATCGAGCTTGAGGAGGAGGAAGAGGAGGAGGACGACGAGGAGGATCGAGGAGGAACGAGGAGGAGAAGAACGACGACGACGAGAACGAGGAGGACGAGGATGATGATGATGATGATGATGATGATGATGATGATGATGATGATGATGATGATGATGATGATGATGATGATGCTGATGCTGATGCTGATGATGACGGTGATGACGATGAGGGAGAAGAGGAAGATGCTATTGGTGATGATGATGATGACGATGATAATAATGATGATGATGTCGATTATGGTGAGGAGAATGAGGAGGAGGATGCTATGACGAAGATGATGATGATGCTGCTGCTGCTGAGGATGAAGAGGAGGATGCTGATGATGATTGTGAATGATGATCATGAGGATGAGGATGAGAATGAGGATGATCACGATGATACCAAGACCGATAATGATGATGCTGATCATGAGGAGGAGGAGGAGGATGATGATGACGATGGTGAGTATGATGATGATGGTTGTGATGGTAGTGATGACGATGATGTTGCCGCTGATGATCACGATGATGATGATGATGATGATGATGATGATGATGATGATGATGGTGATGATGATGATGATGATGATGGTGATGATGCTGAGGGTGATGAGGATAATGATGATGATGATGATGATGATGATGATGCTGCTGATGCTGATGATGAGGAGGATGCTGATGAGGAGGACCAGGAGAACCAGTGCAAAACCAAGACTCATCAACGATGCTACAAGAAACCCCCTCTCCACATTCCTTCTTCATAGGGCCCTGCATAGATCTCCTACATGATAAAACGAATGTGCGCGACGCTAACGCGATCGACATGACAAAAAAAACGGCCCGCCCTTGATCTGTGAAACTCTTATAGCGTTTGAGCCAAAAAGACGCGACATTAAAGCGAGAGCCACGTTTTGAAAACTGCCCGCCCTCAACCGCGAATGTGCTGCAAATTCTGAGTTTCAGGATCATGAAACGGGAAGACGACCAGGCGAAAAACCTGGCCCGACATACTGGCCCGTCCCGGGGTGCGACAAGGAGTTGACTATCAGAAAGAAGGATGGAGGAGGAGGGGGAGGGGGAGGAGGAGGAGGAGAAGGACGAGGAGGAGGAAGAGGAGGAGGATAAAAAAAAAGGAGGAAGAGGAGGAGGAAGAGGAGGAGCGAAGGATCGCGGGCTGAGGCCACTGACGCAGACCCGGCTGACGCAGGTCAGCTCTGACGTGCGCTCATGAGCACGTCGGCCCCGCGGAGAGTCTCGAACGCTGCGCACGCACGGCCGCCAAGGGTTCCAGCTCTGGTGGCGGGGGGGGCCCGACGAGGCAACCCACGCG